TTGGTTGAATTGGCCTAAAGCCAGCCCTGCTCAGGTTGCTTGGCCATTCTAGCCCCTTGCTTTGGCTGCAGCGCCTTCTTGCCCAGCCATCATCACCCCTCCCCATCCAGAGCCCGGGCCAGGGCCAGGGCTTCTCCTGGCTCTGCTGATGGGTCCATACCACCTTTCAGGCCAGACCAACCCGTGGAAGGGGGGGGGGGTCGAGCCTGGATGAGTCCCAAGAGACTTCCCCTTGTTATGCAGCTGTCTGTCCATCATCTCTTTGCCAGGGGTCCCCACTGAATTAGCAGGGGCTGGACCATGTTAAAGCCCCTCTGGACAGAAGTTTAGACCCGACTTTGATTTACTTACTGCACATCAGCGTGTCTCACTCTACGGCCATGGCCAAGCGCAAGAATGGAGCCGGGGGGGGGGGAGGGAGTGAAGTGCTCTCCCTCCAGCCGTGAGCCAAATGGGACACACCTGGCGATCCCCTTAAGATTCCAGCCACATGGACAATCCAACATGTAACACAACCTCTCCCCACCCTTCAAACCCTAGTATACCACCAGTTAACCTCTCCCCTCCCAGCCACCCCTCAACAAGGACCTGGGGCTTTGCCCTATGTCATCACAGTCAGCAAACCTGTGCCCCACTGGATCGAAGGAGTGTGTGTGGGGGCTGGGGGCAGGATAAACTGTAGAGGTAAGAGCCCTCTAGTGAGGAAGCCATGCCCCTACTCAAACACCTCTACAGAGGAAAGCCGTAGGCCAGCATGAGCTAACGAACGCTCCCATCTGGCCTGCACACTGACATCTCAGACCTGGCAATGGTCACTTTACATGGGCTCAACTGTCTCTGTCATACAATGGGCCAGGGCCTGTGCTGTAGCCAGGGTCGGGGCTCTGGGCTGGAGGGGAGGATTAACTGATTCTAAGTCAGAAATCATAGTCTGGCTGTATAACGCACGCCACAGGAGTGTTAACCCCTTTCTACGGAGAGCAAGCACTAGAACTGTTGCGACACAGACGACAGGGCTGGCTGGCAAGAATCACCATCCCCTGCCCCTTGCTGAGCTCATCTGAGGGGGTTTCATGTTGATCTAGCATTTGACAGTTTGCCTTCGAATGAACCTGCTGTTGTGCGATCGAAGAACTGGGTCTCACAGCACAGCACCCAGGGTTCCTGCCGGGCCGCTAGGGAAAACCTGCTTCTACAGGGCTGGAGGCAAGCTGCAGTGCGGAGGGAATCCCAGCAGGAAGGCAAGTTACGTTGCCACGGGTGCTCTGGGCAGGAGGGAGGGAAGGCTCCAGCACAAAACTGCATGCATTCTGTACAGTCTCTTGGCCAAGGCAAAGCCACTGCTGTATTTACTCTGTGTGGTTTACAAATGAATGTTACAAACGCCTGTGGCGGTGAAGAGCTCGGATCCCAGACAGGGACCTGCCCCATGGCCAGCTGTCTTAATACACATTCCCACCAGAACGAGCAGCTCAGACTGAGCAATTCACAGAGCTCCTGCCCGTAGGGAAGGGCTGTGCTGCCCCACTCCATGCACCCTGGCCATGTTGCCAGCAGTACAGAGTGTGAATGGGGCTAGCACCAGAATGCAGCCCCCGATGGAACTAAAGGAGGGGAGAGGCTGCGAGACTTGTGACTCCACCTCTCATGAAATCAGAGATTAGCTCCAAAATCTGGTGACTCCCCTGACCCCAGCAGTGTGCATCTCCAGCCGGGGCCACGGAGGGAGGGCACAGTTGCCCCCTTCCCCACCCCTCGAACACCAGGTTCACCGAGTGCACCCCTAGCCCTGCAGGATCCCTTCAACACACGCTGAGCTTGGGGAAACCCACCTCGTTTGTGAGGCAGGATTCCAGCCTTGCACTTCCCTCACCTCCCTGGGTCACACACCCAGCCCGTCAATACCTCCAGCCCAGGGCCTTAGAGGGGAAGCTGAGCCCAGCAGTCAGTCACCCCCAGAGCAGGGGTTTGCAGCACAGAGCACAGCGAAATGGGTCATTCTGGTGCCTCTTGCTGGTGGCAGCTGACATCTCAGTGGGGGGGAAGCCCCATGGCTTTCTCCCAGATTACACAACTCCTAACAGAGTGTTACCGCATGGAATGAGATCAGACCATTTATTGTTTAGAGACGTTCACGGTTTGGGTTTGGATTCCAGGCAAGGCCCTGCTCTGCCTCTGCCAAACCTCAGCGGGCTGAACCGGCTGGCTCTTCACTGAAATCCAGTCCTGGTTCTGCACAGAACCAGGCCTTGGATCTGAGTCAGAACCTCCCTCACGCAGCTGAACGGCCCAAGATCAGTCAAGCAGGTCAATGGACAGACTTTGTCCCCAACGGCTGAGGTTCTCCTGGAGCGGCTGAGACCACTGAACTCATCATCCCATTCTCCCATGAGGCAGACAGCACCGCACAGCGGCTAGGACCAGAGTCAGACGTCATCAGAGCAATGGCGGCTGCGGAGACAGGCAGCTCCGCTCTCCTCTCACTTCTCTAGCGCCTCTGGAATCTCCAGCTTCAGCCGCTTTAAAGCGTTTGTGAAGAAGTGGGGCGGCCTGCAGACCAGGTGCAGCTGCTTGTCCCCGCTGGTCCCCGTGGGCAGGGTGAGCTGGTGGGCGTGCAGATGGAGGGGGAGGTGACGCACTTTGGTCTGTTCCAACCCCAGTCTCTTCAGAGCGTTCTCAGGAAGCTTCTGCTCCAAGGAGAGGGAGAGGGAGAGAGAGCGCACGCGCGTGAGATGGGTGAGAGCCGGTGCCCAAAACCAGCACACCACCTGCAAACACAAGGCAGCCCCTACTGCCAGGGACGGCCGAGAGAACAAGGCTTCTGAGAGTACAGCAAGCTGCAGGAGCATTAGAAACACCCACAGCCAGATGCTGCCAGACACCATCACAGTGTACCAGGTACCTGCCTGGGGGAGGGAGCATCACAGGCGCCTTTGGGGTTACCCCTGATTCAGTCAAAGAGCACTGGGCTTAAGAACCAGACACTGACCAGCCACTATCCGAGAGGAAACAGGACCTGGGATCTGCTTTAGGGGGAAGATCTCCTCCCATCTCACCTAGGGTGAGGTGCTGCAGGATCTGGCTGGTGCAGAGAGGCCACCGGACCCGCCTGCAGCATAACATCCCCCCCACCTCTTCTTGCCCTGGGAAGAGATTCCTTGGGATCTTCATGGTGACACCCCCAAGCTCCCAAAGAGAGAGATGCCCCAGGAGCTGGATGTTGCAAAGGCGACCATCCCCTCCTCCCCTAGAGATGATGGGACTTGCCTACTGCACATTTCCCCACCTCATCCCTGGGGAGAGGTGCTTGGGATCTTTGTGGTGGTGGAGGTGATGCCCCCCCGCCAGGGAGATGCCCCAGGATCTGGCTTGTTGTGGGAGGGGAACCCATCATCTCAGGGGCAGGGAGAAGCCCCAGCACATGCCATGAGGACACCTTCAGAGTTTCCAGCTGGCAGTCTTGGGGCCTGGTTCCTGGATTCTCCTCTGGGTCTGAGGCTCTGAGAAGAACAGGCCTCACCTGCCCAAAAGGGGTGCTGAAGATCCCACCAAACTTCCTTCCTGGATGTGGAAGGAAGTGCTCCCAGGGAAAGGTTAGCAACAGGCCTCACACCAGGAAGTGGAGCCTTCCCCAGGGCGTGGGGTGCAGTGGGGACACAGGCCCCATAACTCTGCCACTGTTCCCCTTCTGAGGGCCAGCAGCTCCCACTCCCTTCCCTTGCCATATCACCTCTTACCTGGGGTGCCAACTTGTTCCAATGTGCGTATTTGTGGTCCCCGAGGATTGGACACCCCAATCCATAGGCCAGGTGGACCCGGAGCTGGTGCTTCACTCCTGAGCACAAAACAGGAGAGAGAAGAACCAGGCGTTAGAACACAGCCTGGTGCCACCTGTCTGAGCAGGTGCCTGCTGCTCGCCCAGACCGACTGCCGAACGAAGAGTGGGCATGGACTGGAGATTGCAGCCCGTCATTAGCCCCAGCAGCCAGAGAGGCCTGGATGCAAACAAGCTCCGACTGACTGCTGAAGCAAACTACTTGGTCCCCACCGCACTAGGAATGCTCCTGATTGGCTGAATTGCAATCTTATCCAAAAGCCAGACTCGAATGCAAAGTCCTGAACTCCCAGAGACCCACAGGCTCAGCCTGAACCATTTCCCATCAGGCTCGGGCACCTGCTGTCACTAAAGGACCCCTACAGAGGCAGCACAGGAAGCACATCAGGGGCTCTGGTCGCTAGCATATCCTAACAAACTGGGTTCCAAACGAGCCTTACCTGTGATTGGCTGGAGCTCCAGGAGGGAACAAGAGGGAGAGCTAGCCAGAACGCGGTACCGGGTCACAGCACTGTGGGCATCTCGGTTCCGGCGCACTTTCACCATCTTCCCATTCTCGGGAGACACGCGGTAGTTCGGTGCCAGCGTCATCTGAAGCACAGGGAAGCCCGCACAAGCAAGAGAGCGTCACAAGAAATACACCTTGAGCGCTGTGAGGGCAGGGTAACAGTGCAGACGGCCTGGCTAGAGATTCACAGTGCTAAGCCCTGGCTGGCAGTACCGGGGCCCGACTGGGAGGCAACTCACTCACCTTATAGTGCGACTGGTGGCTCTGCACTTGCTTCTCCACAATGGGAATATCCACCAGCCCCTCCGACGGGACTGGGAGCCCCACGCTGATTGTCCTGGGAAGAGAACAAACAGATCAACAGGGCCCCACCCCAGCTCTCTGCACACAGCAGTCAGCTCTCTACAGGGCAGGGAGAGGTCAGTCTACTTTATTCCACTAGCAATACTGCAGAGGTTTTGCCCCTGCAATGGGAGGCTCTTCAATGTGACAAACATGATCAGCCCTTCCAAAAAGCTGTGAAGTGCAGCTAGCTCCAAGTCCCCAGAAAGAGCTAACAAGGCTTGGGGGTGCCAGCAATTACACATGGAGGTCTGAGCACCAGATGCGGAGCCCTGAGGAGTCCCCCCATTGCCTTTTCCCAGGCTCTGAGCCCCAGACTGTATCGAGTGGGAAGGGCATCTTACTCAACCCTTCTCCTTACTGTGCACAGGAGGGGAGAGGAGACAAGACCCACCTAGTCCTGGGGAGCAGGAGATGGAAGGTCGCTCTCCGGGCTGGAGCACAGCAAGCAGCATTAGGCTATCGGGCCTAACAACTAATTGCTCATCATCCGATTCCCAAGCATGGCACAACCAATCCAGAGCAGATGGCACTTCTATCTCTCCCAGGTGAGAGCATAGAAGCATGTGATTAACAGGGGGCCTTTTCCCCTCTAGGTCACAGGTTCAAACACAGCCCAAGGGGGTAGTGAGCTGCGCTGTGAGGCCTGTTTGTGGCGTACATGAAGGAGCTGGCAAGCATCCAGCTTGCTCTCAGTGGACAAATGCACTGCGCTGCAGAACCACCACTGGCATGAATTCCACCCCCATGTTGTCTCCAGTTCACCTTTAAGAGGACAGATGCCCCTCGACACCTAGCTCCAAACCACATAAGAGCCTGTGCTCCTGCTCCCAGCAAACCTCTCGTACCAGTATTTCTTCTCCACCTGTCGCGTTTTGAAGAGGCACTGGATCCGATGTGCTGTGTCCTTGTCCCATGCTAGCACCATCACGCCCGTCGTCTCCTTGTCCAGCCGGTGACACAGGTGCAGGGGTTCAGCTTTCATGCCATCCAGCATCTTGGCCAAAATTGGCAGCACATCGGTGATGCAATTCTGGATCCCAGGGCCACCTGGGTGATTGGAAGAGAAACAAGACCAAAGAACCAGATTAGTGACCCAAGAGAACTCCCCTCAGAAGCTGTTTCCCCTGAGTGCAGAGCCAGCAAGGACAGGCTCTATCAGGGCCCCATGGAAAGAGCTTGATAGTCCAAAATGTTTTTTTGGAGACTCAGTTGCCACAGACACTTGTGAGCCTGCACATATTCCCTGGCAGATGCCCCCAGTTCTCACTCTGCCAGGCACCACTGGGAACCTTCAGAACTTTAACCCTTGGGGCCAGGCACTCAGAGTTCCCAGAGGAACCCTGGATTTACTCCAGGTGCCCACTTGTAGCAGAGCAATGCCAGGCAAGTTCACTCACTGACTGGCTCCTCTACCCACCAGCAGAAGAGTTTCACAAGCACATTCCAAATTAGACAGTAAGTTCTTCGGGGCAGGGATTGTGCCTATCTGTGGGTACGGAACCTCGTACCATGGTCCTGATTAGGGTCCTTCAGGCACTACCACAACAAAACAACAAACTTCCACTTTTCCATTTGCTGTATTGCCCATATAAGCGCACCTCCTGCTAGGAGAGGCTGGAGCAGCCGAGCGCTCTCTAATGCCAGGTCTCCTGCATCATTCCCCATGGCACAGCCTGCTGGGAGAGGCTGAACTGTCTAACAATCAGCATTGTGGGTGAAACATTCTCCTTTCCTCAAACTGAGATGTAACCCTAAGAAGATACATGCTGCTCTCTCCTTGGGGCCAGATGTAGGAAGAAAATCCCCAGGCTAATCAGGGAAGTTAGAGACAGAATACCGGGCTCACTTTACCCCATCCCCCTGTGCAGCTCCCGCAGGAGGCTGTCTGGGGTACAGCTCCACTTCAGGTCTCCATTCATGAGCACAGCATGACCCAGGCTCAATTCAGATCTATACAGCGATGAGCGTGTTGGCGTGGCGGCAGAGATCCGAGTGGCATTTAGATGCCTTTGGAGCTGAAATTGTTTAATATAACATGAGCCCAGACACCAAGAGACGGCACCTTCAGGGGTTGGTGAAGCTGCTCTCCCAGTAACTAGAATTGGCTGACACACCTCCTAGCATTAGCCTACGCACTGCCCAGCACAGAGCGGCCTCCCTTGGCCCTCTCTCACCGTGCACAGGGAGGCCGTAGGGTTTGTCAATCACCACAATCTCCTCATTCTGGTAGAGGATCCTACGCTTCAGTGCCTTGGCCAGCACGTTGGGGTGAACCCGCTGCAGCTGCTTGCTGAGCTGGGACAGTTCTCGGACCCGCCTCAATACTGGGTTTTTAGGCTCCTGTAAAGAAAGAAAATGCTATAAGTGGAGAAAGGATGGTCTCAGGTTAAGTAACGGGGATTTAGGAGACCAGCGTTCAATTCCTGACTCTGCCGCAAACTTCCTGTGAGACACTGGGCAGTTCACGGAATGGCTCTGCCACGGCATCTCCTCCCCTCACAATGTTGTTTTGAGGAATCTCAAAACTGTGAGAGGCACAGTTACTACAGTGACAGGGCCGCAGACACTGCCCAATGGTCCTATCACAGCAGCCATTCCACTGGAATCTCACCCGGCTGGGCAAGATTTATCCCCAAATGTTTCAACTCCAGTGCGCTCTCAGTGCCTCGCCACTTTATGTAGGTTTCATCACCCACTGGATGCAGGCCTAGAGCTCTGATGTCAGGCTGACATTTGACCCCGGCTGACAGCATCCAAGGAAGTAAGGCCAAGATTTCAAAGTAAGGGTATGAGCAGACAAAGGACTGTAAAAATGGTACTCGCTGGTTCTGAAGAAGGGCACTGATTAATTCGAATACGTTAGGTAATGCGAAGGGTCAGATGGACCCCATGCTGGCCTCTGAGCCACGCAAGGCTTTCTGAGCTGTGAGAACAAACCCCTCAGAATGAGAACAGAGTTCACATTGGGGCTTTGTCTGAACCAGGATCTAAAGGTGTTTTGTTAGAAAGCGTTCCCTAACACATTCTAGGGGTCCAATGCAGACAGGGAGTGTAAACTTTAACTCATACAAAGCTAGGTTAACCCCTAGGCTTTAACTTGACCCATTTAGTGCACCTTAAAGTCTACACTGCCTTGTCTACACTAGAGTTTTAGAATGTTTTAGTTAGAACATGTCAATTAACATCCTGTAACCCCACACCTTTACTGTCTAGACTACGCAATGCCTGTCTGACTGAAGCCAGGTCAACACTACAAACTTACATCCGTATAATTATGGTCTAGACAGTATTTGGTCCTGCCATGCGGGCAGGGGACTGGACTCGATGACCTCTCGAGGTCCCTTCCAGTCCTATAATCTATGATTCTATGATTCTATGTTGCTCAGGGTGTGAAAAATCCACACTCCTTGAGCGATGTAGTTAAACCAATCTAGCCCAGGTGCAGACAGTGCCGTGGCGATGGGAGAGCTTCTTTTGTCAACAGAGCTACCGTCTCTCACAAAGGTGGATTAACTACGTCAACGGGAGAAGCCCCACTGCATGTGGACAAGCCCTGAGTGTGCAGGCAAGGAAAACAGCTTTTGAAGCTCTCCAGTTCCCTGTGCACTCAAAGGGAACTGGCATTTCTTGTGTCACATTGCACCAGATTCAAGATGGCAGCATTATGCTTGCATGTTAAATACAAATAATAATTAAGAAGCATTTTCTTTTAACACAAAGGTTTGCAAGCTGTTGGTGCTTGAGCACCGGCTGCTCACATGTTGGCTCTCATAATTTCCAAACTACTAAATCACATTAAAAAAAAACAGCTAAACATACAATAAATACTTTCTTAAAATGTACTGCCCTGCTGGGAAGGTTATCCTCTGCCAATATGGGGTTTCCCTCCCCTTCCGTTTTGTTGTTACTCTCCCTTTATATCCCTGTTCTGTCTTTACTAGATCTCTCTTGCCTGGTTCAGTCTGAGGGACGGGATGTGGACTTGGCATCAGGGTGGTTGCACACTACTTGGGTAGTTTCTTCATTTGATTGTAATGTTTACTGCTGGGCCATTTGATGCCTATTTACGAGCACCTGGTAAAGGCAGCAAAGAGAACAGGGTCTGACCCTGAGAGTAGGGTTGCCAACTTTCTAATTGCAGAAAACCGAACGCCCTTGCCCCACGGACCCTGCCCACTCCCTCCATCACTTGCTCTCCTCCACCCTCGCTCATTTTCACTGCAAGGCCCAAGCAGGCACCAAGAGAAGGCCAGGAGCTACAACAGTTTGAATGTGGGAGATGGAACGTGTGATTCAAATACCCTTCACCTCTCCAGGGGGGGGATTTTAAACACTATTGTAAAATTAATTGCCCCCCGAAAAAAGCATCCCCCTCACTCACAATGAGCGAGACTAAAGAGACTATTGCAGGAGCTTGATTTTTCTTGCCTTCACTCAACTGTCCTGGTAGGGGATCCAGTAGTGCTGCAGCCACTGACTGACTCTTTCCCTACCTGACAAAGAACTGTCTAGCAGAGGGGAAAAGTTATGTTGTTCCATGTTTAATGACTAGTTAAATTGTTTGCATATATTGTCTGTTAAGGCATACATTTAATGTGGACAAATTGATGTTAACATTTCCTGACACTTACATTTAAATATATAACCTTAATATCGCAGCAATAATTCATTATAGCTCTTTAAAGTTAAGGGGAGATTGCATAAAATGTAATTCATGCTGCAGAAACTGACCCCTCCTTATTTTACCATCCTGCTAACCAACAGGTTTTCTAGTGTTCTTCGTTTCAAGTTTTTTCACCTGTACGGTGTCCCAGATTTGTCCCAAAGCAGGTTGAGAGGTAATGTTAGAAAGTCACACACCGCGTGACCACCTGTCCGTCGTTCGGTGCCCGATGTTCCACATTACACCTCAAATTAATAAACATTGTCTTGTATACACCACTAATCATGCGAAAGATTGTACACTGTAATACAATGTGTTATTTGTATATTAACTCTCATAATTTCCAAGTTGTCCGTTATTTGAAACATAGAGGGTCTGGGTATGGGCATGAGGGCGATTACCATAGCGAGGGACTAACTCTTCTGTTTTAGGAACATCCTAGTGAAGCTCTGCATTCCCTGTTGCCAGGCCCCCTTTGTGCTGCCAGCACCATCAGACCACATGACCCACTTACTTTTTGCAGTCTCTGGCGGGCACCCACCAGTCAGGCTTTGCACACAGCGATGTCTGGCTGCTGGCGTGGCTTCTGATGTGCCCTGCTGACTGGGTGGTTGCAGTGGCCACCCCAGTGGCGGAAGCTGAACCAGACCCAGTGCACTGCCCCTGGATGCACTGACAGAGACACGCCCCAAACCACTCTAATCTACATGCATCTCCTGCAAGGAGGGACTGGCCTGCACAGCCACCTAAGTTAGCAGCTACTGTGTCCCACCTGCTGGGAGGGGATGTGGGTGGGTGTGTCCACGCAGCAATTAAAGCTGGTTGCCCCCTGTCCACTGCTTGGGGCTTGCTGTGGGGCTGTGTTTGGGCTAGCTGAACCCCAAGCTCTGAGACCCCCAAGGGGGGAGGGACTCAGAGAGCCCAAATGTCTACACACTAATGTTCTGATCCCAGTCCGCTGAGCCAGGCCATCAGGTTGTTTAACTGCAGTGTAGACATACCCCAGACAGCTCAGATGGGCTGAAGTGGAGGCTCCCGGGTAGAAACTACTGGGGAAAGGAGCTGCAAATTTAGAGCATCTACACCTCATCCCTTCTCCCCAAGCAACCACCAGCCACTTGTGGTGAGCAGGGCCACGTAGCTGGGGTGGCTGTTAGGAAGAGCAGGATGGTGCTTGGGGCTGGGGGTATGTGAGAGAGTTAGGGGTGCGAGAGCAGGGTGCAGGCTGGGGGGCAGAGGGTTGGGGTGTGGTAGGGGGTACAGGCTCTGGGCTGGGGTTCAGGCTCTGAGGTGGGGCCAGAAATGAGGGGATCAGAGTGTGGGAGGGGGGTCTGGGCTGGGGCAGGGCTGTGGAAGGGGGTACAGGCTAGGGGTGCAGACTTTGGGGTGGGGCTGGGCATGAGGGGTTTGGGACCAAAGGGGTTGAGGTGCAGGTTCCGGAAGGGAGTTTGGGTGCAGGAGGGGATTTGGGGTGCAGGCTCTGGCTGGTGTGGTTCATGGGAGTCTAGGAGGACCTGATCTCAGGTGGCCCCTTAGTAGCCACACCAGCAGTGCCCGAGCATTTCCCAGGGATGGAGGAAACCACACCATGTCCAGCTCCTAGGCAGAAAAGCAGGGGGTGTGCATGCTGCCCCCACCGGCAAGCGCCACCCTGAGCGCCGGCTCTGCAGCCCCCATTGGTCGCGGTGCCCCGGATTTGTACCTCTTATGGCTTCCGAGCCAATGGGAGCTGCGGAGCCAGCGCTCAGGGAGGCACCTGCGGGCGGGGGCAGCAAATGGAGCCCCGCTGGTCACCCCTGTACCTAGGAACCGCCGCTGCTTACTGGGAGCCACGTGGAGGCAGGCTGGGAGCCTGCCTTAGCCCCACTGCGGCCAACTGGACTTTTAAGCGACGACCGGAGCAGCCAGGGTTCCTTTTCGACCGAGTGTTTCAGTTGAAAACCAGACACCTGGCAACCCTGACTGAGAGGCGCTGAATACCCACAATTCCCACTGGCTCCGGTAGGAGTTACAACCACACATCTTTATACGACTAGCTTGAGCACGCTCTGAAAGCCTCCAGCACAGCATGCTACAGAACTACTA